GATCCAAACTGATTTGTGAAAAACATAATTAATTAGTTCCCTTAAATAAAACCAAATGCAAGGTCTTAATAGGTGGAGCAGTGAGTAACTTATTTACTTCAATTTGGGGTCTTACAATAAACTATATCTCTTTCAAAGGGTAAAGTTGTTTGTATGAAATTATACGTAGATTGTTTTCCTAAAATCTACAAAATTGCATAAGGAACAAATCTAATATAATTATGCATTAGTGTGATTAGTTAAAAAGATCACAAAATGTTTATGTCACAAAAAATATGAAAAATCAATTCAAGGCAAAATTTAAATAAAGGCAAAGTACTGAAACATCAAAACTTTCTCAAAGAAGAACTTAAAAATGGAAGACAGACTAAATTATGTATTTAATTTAAAAATCTCTAAAAAACATTAACTTTTACCCAATACAAACACATGATTTTATTCTAGTTACATTTTTGAGTTATTTACATTTTCTACAACTAAAATATTATATTATGCTTCATCATGTTCATAATTATGTGATCTTACATCAAAACTCTAAATTCTACCAACTTAACAATAACATGGTAACTTGACTAAAAGGTTTAATGATACAATGTATTGTACTATAATTTCAGGATTTTCTATTATATTATAACCTCAAAAGTTTTAACTATTTTGGGAAGTTAAAAAATAAGACCAATAGACATGTATATACATTTAAGTTAAGTAAACAGATCCTATAATTATTCTCTGTGCATCATCTGCTCACTATAATGTATGTTTACATATTAATGTGCAGCACAAATTTGTAAACATGAACATTTGAAACTTTGAAAGGAAATGATACTAGTCTTTCCCTTCTCAATATTTTATTGAAACAACATGTCAAACTTTGGCCAGCACCACACATGTAAATAGTTTTAATATGGGATATGTTTCAAATGTTCTACGTTATCTGTTGGTTCTGTTTTATGTTGTTATCCAAACCATGTTTATTTGTATAATTTTAATACAAATCATCATTTAATTGCAGACCAAACCAACAAAGATTAAATGTGTACCAAGGCACTTATATCAAAGCAACTGCCTAAGCTATACATTTGGTTTGTTTTAAACCACTCCAATAAACATGTTAAATTCCAGTGAAATCAACTGGCAAACTGTTGCTGTGTACCAGGATATTATTGTTATTTTGGCCAGTTGAAGATTTTTCAGTACAAAGTCAACGTACCTCTAAATTGGAGTAAAAACATTGTACTTCCAACCTGTCAATTCAATTCACAATGTACAGTACATGTAATTAACATTTCTAAGTATATTTAAATCTACCTTTCTACATAAGTTTGTATAGTAAATAGTATATGTAAGTATGCAAAATGAGTGGATGTTCTTTGTAGCATATCATTTCAGAAATGGAAGAGAGAAAAAAGCAACAGAATGCAAATTATTTAAAAAACTAAACTAAATCTCCACTGTGTATACATATATATACAATGTATATATGTATATTTTGTATATACATTATGTATATATGCCACACTGTGGCATCTGGAATTTATCAAGATAAGGAAAAGACTTATTAGTGAGGTTAAATAAGGAAACAACTGCATTTTGTCCTACTATATACATGGACATACAACTATTGCCTTAAAAATCTAAATTTTTCATCAGTATGTATATAGACTTTTGTAAAATATATTTTAAGTATTTATATCAAACTAATTTCAGGTATGTTCTTTTTTTTTCATGTGTATCCATTCACAATACAGACTAGGCTCAGGGTCTGGGCTGAGGTGCACAAGGGGTAGGTTTACTTTGCCTCCTCCTTCTATACAGCCAGTAGAAGAACACAGCCTGTGGTAAGCACCAGGAGGCTCAGGTATATTCTAACTCAACCAAGAAAGCTGATGGGCTCACCAGCAATACTTAAAATATATGTATTACATTTTTGTGTATGCCATGATTTTCCTCAGGGTATACAATATAAGTGATTAGGAGAATGAAAAGGAAATCTTCCATAATGTCCAGTGCAAATGCATGTCTTTATATGTTGTTGGCACCCTTGTCAAGCTGTCAGTACATAGTACTCCAATGGTTCAAAGACTGACTATTCAATGACCCATCACCTACTGATTCTAATAGTTTTTTTTCTTTTTGTGCCACAAACATGCTTCAGCCTCACAAAAGAATGAAATCATGTCCATTCTCAGACCATATATACAACTCACACCTAATTGCAATGAACATCTTTCTTCACAATTTGGAGAAATAAACCTCTTCATTGTGTAATATACTAAATAGAAAAAATGACACCAAATAATTTGAAGCTGTAAATTATTTTACCTCACATAATGTAAAGTTATATTTTGAACTATAAAATATAATCTGCAGAGAGCTTAGGCACCATGTGGAATAAAAATACATAATGATATTAAAGAGATTGCTGTTGTAAGTTATGTGACTTAAAGTTTTATATTGGTATTTCAGATGCAATGAATAGAAGACTTACCCACTTAGACATCCATTCTGCAATCAAGCTGAAACGTTAAGTCCTTCATTTCAATGTGACTGACTGTTCTCCAAAATAATACCTTCCTGACCAGAGAATCTAACTATAGGTCTGAGTTTAGCTGAGGGATGTATAAGGATAAAGTAACATTCATTTATTTCTTGACACAATGTGCAAATTTTACACAGTTGATGCAAAGTTTATTTCTAGTTTTATTTGGGATAAGTAAGATAAGTAGGTCAGGTTAAGAATCAGATTTATAAATGTAGTATACTCTTTTCTTTTAAAAGGGGGAAGGCACATGCATATGTATCTTCAAACCAGATGGAAATAGAATATTTAATAATAAGAATTTGTGGTTTATCAAGTGGCATGTAGCCACTTTCATTTGCTCACAATTTCACACTTCATCTAACCAAAGAGGCTTTTGATTTTTTGTAGGTTTTTAAAGCAAGCCTAAGATTTAGTTGAGGCAGCTAAAAGTGGAAGAATTTCTAGTTTGTTGTTCTATAACCATAGCCACAATATACCAAGTTACTTGGTAGATTAAGAATTTATTCAACAGAAAATGGCAAAGGGCGTTAAATATTTACATGCATGAATTAGTGGTGTTAGCAGATTTCTACAGATGATCAATTTTCTCAGCAGAAGGAAGGAGCTGCTTACTAGACCTCATGAGGTTTCTTTCATGTCTACTTTTCTCTGAAGACTTTCCCTTCCTTACTTCTTTGATTAAAAGTGTGAAACAATAACTTATGAGCATTATATAAAATAGCTTAATTAAATGTATAGCAGCACTTAACTTTTGCCTCAATTAATTACTATTACTAGTATAGTTGTCTATCACTAGTTTTATGGAGGTAATATATAGAAAAATTACCTGAATTATAAAGCATAAGATATATGTACCTTGGAGCAGCTATGAAATTAGTGCCTTTTCTTAAATAATCATTAAAAATAACTCAGATTTTCTGTGTTTTTCAGTTATTAAATGCTTTTTCTGTCAATTTACTGAAAATTTATTCCTTGTAAACTCTCAGAATAAGAGATATGGAAGCCTCAACTAAAGTAATAATTTTTATTTTACTAATTCAAATTAGCCTGCAGATGTCCTATTTTTAAATAGACAAAATTATAAGAGAGCTTGTTGATTCAATCCCTGGTTTAATAAACCTGGATAATACAGATTTTATGCATCAAAGATTTCTGCAACAGGTACCTTACCAGTTTAAGACACAAATAATATTGTCTTGACTACAATATTCATTTGAATGTAACCATGTGCAAAGGTATATAATTTTAATTCATATTAGGAGAGCACATTTATAAGGCATATTTAGGATGAAATAACCATTTTAGCAACATAAATAGTAGGTGTATGCTCTTCCTAATATATTTTGGAAAAGTTAGAGAAAGCAGCTTAGCAAATTGTCTAGTGTGTCAAAATTCAAGTCATGCCATTGTTACATGAAGGGTCTTAGCTTAATAAAATATCTAGAACTAATCACATGAAAATTAACATTCGATTGATATTAAAGATATACATGTTGTATATAGGTTAGACTTTATAATTCCTTTCAGAAATTTAGGATCTAGTGAAAGAACTGTTTAACTTTCACAACTAAAATAAAGTTATTTTTTCTACTTTTGTCTAGCCTAATTTATCATAACTAACACATAAGATTAGAATTGAATTGTACCAATGCAGTGTTATGTTCACACATATGGACTCAATTATATTCTCCACTTGAAACAATAATATCTTAGGCTCCTTAGAGAACTAAAATCACTTGTGTTGTAAGTGTCATATAAAATACTAGGTTTGTTAAGGGAATATGTTAGAAATGGGTAGTCTAAGAATGATCCAGATATTAAAAGAAATAAAAGAGTAATTTATTTAGGCTGTTTTACTTTTCATTTGATCTTTGTGTTTCTTCAGGATTAAATAGTCCTCGGGATACAAATATTAATAAAAATAATACGGGAAATCACCTTAAAATTGTAATTAGTATTTCCTTCAACAACAGAGTATAAAGATATAAAGTAAACAAACAATTTAATTTTCATCTATAATTACTAGATACATATTTACAATGAAGCCAATCTTTGTAGGTAAAACTGAAATTGTTTCACTGCTTTTACAGGAATTACATCTATCTTCTTTTGGTCATTGTAAACATGTAAAAGCAGTGTTATGATAAACTGACTAGGCTATGATTGGAGACTTGGTCATCTGGCATAAATTTTCACTGATGGGCTATTTCATCAAATAATATTTATAAAGCATCTTATTTTAAGGGCCAGGGCCACCATAATCAGCTATTCTTATAGGTCACATTTGACATTATAAACAATTTCTTGTGAATATTTGATAAGGCACTTCACATAAATAACAGAGTGATGTCTCTGGTAACAAAGTTTTTAAAGCCCAATGCGTATTGACCTTTCTTTGGCTAAAAATTGAACAAATAGGCTGCTTACATGTAATTATTTTTAAAATGAGATTGTTTCATTAAAGGCAATGGTTGATTGTTGGATTCCAATGAGTATGGTTACATCTGCCTTCTCTAAAAGAAACTTGACTGTTGACATTCCCTTTGAGATGGTTGGCAGCATTTACCAGTCTAGATGGCACAGAGAAATTGTACCTATAAAAGCCATAGGAAGGACGGAAAGAGCAATTGAGTGCTTCTGGAGCAATGGGATTTCGTTGGAAAATGTTTCCAGGTGACTGTAATCGGTATAACATTTGATTGGCAGAATAAGGTGCTTGTAGACACTGTCCATTGAAGTCTTCAGAGGAATGAGTTTTTGAATTGTTAACCCCCAAGGAAGGTAACATGGGTACTTCCATCATGAGAGGGGCTAAAGACTGAGAACTGTTGCTGCTTGCTAGTCTTTCAGCAGTGGGTAAGACAAAAGGTTGCTGTTGCCAAAAATTAGTTGGACACATCTTATAGCAAAGGGGAAGGTTGATACTGTGAAGGTATGCCTCTGGACAGGTCATTCCAAGGGAGCTTGTAGGCAAGTGAAACATAGGTGGAGAGCAAGGTGGAGAAAGTAAGGAGTTCAAAGGAGAGGGAGCCCCTCCACTAGAGGTCACTGGAGATGAGCCACTGCTTCCACCTGTGAATGACAGTTCAGTCAAGGAACAATGAACCAATAGTCATATCAATCATCATCCCTGTTTCATTCTTAGATGAGTTTTCCTTACAAATTCAGTTTTTTTATCTTCCTTGGGAAAGGAATCTCTACTACTACCACCACTACTACTTTTGGCACCACTAGTGTGTATCATGTACTGAACATTCCCTATGCTGAAGGCATTTGAACTGTATTTATCCAACAAATTACAGAAGCAGCCTGAGTATATGAATCAATCAATAATGTCTTACAAATAAAACCTAGACTTTTATTTCTTAAATTTTAAACATATAGTTAAGTAAGTTGAAAAATTTATTTGTTGTTTGGGATTTTATAGGGAGCTTGAGCCTAATAAAAATAACAGTATATGAAAATAATCCTGCATAAGTAAAATCAGCATATTAACAACCATTAGCTCTTTTTGGTGATAGTAGGGCTTGAACTCAGGGCTCCATGCTTCCTAGGCAGGTACTCTACCACTTGAGCTATGTCTCCAGCCCTTTTTGCTTTAGTATTTTTTCAGATAGGATCCCATGCTTTTTGCCTGGGCCAGCCTTAGACCATGATTCTTCTATCTACCCTTCCCTCATAGCTCAGATTACAGATATGTACCACCACGTTAGCTGGTTCTTTGAGATAGGGTCTCATTTATTTATTTTTTTTTGTTGCACAGATTGTCCTTGAACTGTGATCCTCCTATCTCTGCCTGTCAAGTAGCTAGAAGTATAGGTATAAGCCACTGCACACAGCCTTAGCTTTTTGCCTTATATGAAAATTATTGAGGGGCTGATTCCTGATTTACTCCATAAAGAGTTGAGGACAATTTTTCAAGTTAAGAGGCATCAAAACAATAATGAAAGCATTCATATAAATGGTGTCCAGTGATCTTTAATGGTTACTTAGCATCTACTAAAATTAGGGACAAATATAAAGTTCAGGAAAATCTAGTTTCTAAACCTTAGTTTTGTAAATGTTTGAATCCAATCAAACAATTGGCTATACACTGGACTTGACGTTTCTGGAATGTTAGTGATGGTACTCTTGTTTTTCTTAGGACAGGGAAGTATTTCAACAAATGATTATCTTGATTTCTTTACATTTCAATTGGTTATAATTGCGTCATGAATAAAACACAGTCTAAGTGAACATTTTCTAGAATATACTTATCCCCTTGTATAGTATTTGGTGCAAGAGTTTTGGTTGTTGTTATTTAATTAATATGTAATAATAAAACTGACTGTTATAAATTTTCTTACTTTGTGTGTCTGTACCAAAGGTTTTAAAATCCAGAGTAAGAGAAGGCCTCCATGTGTAGGTCTCCAAAAGCCCATCCAATACACCCCTAAAAAAGAGATTTAACTTTCAGTAACCCCCATGCACTTCTTGAACATAATTTATATAAACCATCTATATTTTAGGAGTAATTATTTGAAGTATCTATCTTTTATAGCTAGATTCTGAATAAAATCCAATAAACCCTATGATGTTAGAATAAACAATATCTTCAAACTGGGTAGGGAAGAGAATGGGAGAAGGAAAGCTATTGGAGATAAAAACATCTGGTTCCTTTGCTACTACTTATTAGTCATAAAACTTGGAACTTCTGGGTATCTGAGCCACAGTTTCCTAATACTTGTGTAAAGGGCTACATAAATAGTAGTTACTTACCTGTTTCTTCCAGGATCTCTAAATCCTTTAGCAAAAGGATTCCTGTCTATTTTCAGTTTTGTAATCTATGGATTCAAAAGAAACAGAAAATCAGGGCTACAGCACTGTCCCCATTGCTCATAATGGTTACAACAACCATACAAGGCTGCAACTTCTAATGTGGCACTTTAAACAAATGTAAGCATATAAGAAAGTCAAATTTAGAATAATTATTTCCTTTATCTACTGGTATCCTTTACTGTGCTCTCCTTTATAATATAAAAAGCACATAATTTATTGTCAAATTTCACTTGACCACAATGCAATAAAACCATGATTTCCCCATTGTTTAAAATGCATTCCAGAGAGGGCCACTTGCCTCTATCCCAAGGTCCTTTCTGAGGCCACTTGCCCTTGCCTGGGGCCTGGCCAGCTTTACCTGCTGATTTTGGTAAGCTGTCACTGTGGTGAACTCAGTTTCTTTAAAGGAGAAAGTTTTAACCCCTTCAGCAGGCAGGGACTGAATCCGAGACAGGTCAACCCTGCTGTCTTGCTCCATCACGTGCACACGGGGCTTGTACTTATGCATAGACTGTAGAATGATCTGGGGAAGAAAGGGTCAAATGCTGCCAGAAGAACTGACTTCTCTTCCCCAACACCTTCCCCCTCTCATGACCACTGCCAATGAGTATGCATGCAAAGAATGAGACAAGGCTAAACCTCAGAAGTTCAGGTAACCACACACAAGGATGTTGTTACAGCATTGGATTTCCAGAGCAAGGCACCTCAGTTACATCAGGCAGCATACTTTACTTCCAGATTGGAGCTCTTTCCTGATTCTTAATGTGGATGATCATGTGACGTAGAGTGTTATTGAGATCTGATCACCTGTCATAGATTCTCTGGGCAGTAACATGGGTCTGAATGTGGTAGGAAACCTGACCTTCCCAGCCCTCTGCAAGCTCTTTCTCCTCCTTCTCCTCTTCCTCCTCCTCTTTCACTAGTACTGGGGTTTGAACTCAGGGTCTTACACTTGCTGGGCGGGTACTCTTCCACTTGAGCCATTCCACCAGTCCTTTCTGCATTGGTTATTATTATTTTTTTTTGAGATAGGGTCTTGCTTTATGCCTTGCCAGCCTGTATGTGACCCTTCTATTTGTGCTTTCCCTCCATAGTTGAGATGTCAGACATATACCACCAGGGATTGGTTCAGATGGGGTGTCTAAAAATTTTTGCCCTGGCTGACCTCAAACTGCAATCCTGATCTCTGCCTCCCAGGTAGCTAGAATTACAGATTTGAGCCACCACACCTGGCCCTCCCTCTCCTTTTAAAGCTGGGCAAGGTTGGCATGGCAGGACAGAGGCAGGAGTGTAACTAAGGAAAGGTTAAGGATTCATGCAATCTGAAAACAGGAACTGACTTTCCTAGAAGCAAGTTGTGGAGCTTTCCAGTCTGCATTCTTATTCCCAGCTTCCAGCTTGCATTCTTCCTCCACAAGACATCTAAGGTGCCTATCTAACAACTGTGTGGACCACTGGGAAAGCAAAAGCACATTGTTGCCTGGAAAGCCAAAGTGCCTTACAGTTCTGTTAAGTGTTCCCTGCTACTCTCGCAAACCTGGTATTTTGAGCTTAAACTGGTCTCTTTCCGATTCAAACTCCCTACAGTTATCATTCCCACATGCCAGCACTCTCAGACAAAAAGGTTTCTGAAGCCCTTTGTTCCCTATTTTATCCACAGGTCCAGAGCTTAGACAGTTTCTAAAAAACACATGTGCAACTCAGGAAAAATTCCTTGCTTTCTCTAAGACAACCTGTGGGCAGGAGTCTTAGCCATGTCCTTTCTCTTGGACAAGGATTGTGCTCACTTACATGACCTTTGTCGTCCATCTCATTGTTGGTGAGTTTCACCCGATCAAAGCTGATGATCTGCCGCATCCAGGTCTCTCCTGAGCAGGGAGAGTCCGGGTGGACATAGAATCTGGGCGTAATGCACGAATGGTCAGTATTCCCAGCTACCATCCACTGTGAGCTGTGATACACATATCTGAAAAGGTGCAGGTGTGGCATTAGGCTCAGCCAGCCAAAGCCAGGAACAAGGGAAACTGGGTTCTGGTCCTAAGGGCCTAGCCAAATATTATTCTGCTGATCCCCAAGGCAAGTAGCAGGAAGAGACAACTGGATTTCCAAATAGCGGGCAGAAAACAAACAGTAAATAAGCATAAGCAATGAGATGAAGTGCCAGGGCAAGTAAAATGCCATGGGATTTTCGAGTCTGGTTTGTATTTCCTCACAGAAACCACAGTACAACTTGATCTAACTCCTTTTACCATGCAGAGATGCAAAAAAAAAAAAATCCAGGAAGACGTGGAGGGCTGATCAAGAGTGTTTGTCACCAGTAGTAATCTAAGCCCTTTTGTCAATTAGGCTTTGCATCAGAAAACCCCAAGCAACCCTGCCCCTTGAGGGCTCAGTATTCCCAATGCAGCTACATTAGGAAACATAAACCACTTGTTTAGCTGTTTTTAGGTCTTGGCTCCAGCCCCTGCATGCTGTGCTTTCTCATAGCACTGAATTCCAGGCTGTTTTCTTGGAGGTCCAGGCACCACACTCACCTCTGGGTGGAATGTTCACAGATGGATATGGGCTGATTTCCTGGCACCTTCTTCCCAGAGTCCCTGAGTCAAAATAGGCAGCCTAGTGCCTAGGTAATTCTAAAGCTTTAGAACAATTTCTCCATTTTTAGCCTGCTCTAAGTCCAGGGCTTAACAAACAGAAGGGTAAAGGACCCTCATACCCTCTGGAACCTGGTCACCGCCTAACCTGTCTTAGACTGAGAACCTCTTTACCAGCTTCCGAGAAAATCATGGCATCATTTCTGGAGCCCTCTACCAAAGCAGCACAGCTCATTTTCAAGTGAGCTCCCAGAAGCCTGGGGTGTCTTGGGACCTAGGGCATTTCTCCACAAATTCCTTCAAACTGCTTCCCTCCTGCCTGCCACAGTCAGTCAGTACCCTTCTGCAGTTTACATATCCATGGCCAGAACAGTGGGTAAGCTTAGAGGCTTGGGGTACATTAAAGCACCAATTCATATGGCATTCCAAGAGGAAAGGGAGGAACAAACCTGCTCTTCCCTCACTCTGAACCTGATTTGAGTGAGAGAATTCTACTTACAAACCCAAAGAAGGGCAATACTTCCTCCCCATAAGCTATAGTTTTTAAAAGAGTGCTGTCAGGTTGCATATCTGAAGATATTAATCCCTGCCTCAGGCTTGGGCCTGAGTATCTTTGGGGTTGTGGGGGCTTTACCTATAGCGTTTGGAATCCACTGGCACCACATCCATGGCCACAGAATACTGTTTCCCTGGGTCCAGCCCTTTCACCTTGACCCGAACAGAGGGGAACATCCGCCTGTGGGTAAGAAAATAGAGACTGACCCTGGAGATTTTAGAGAGGGTTGAAAGGAGGAGTAGTCTCTGACAAATACTACAGCAATTAAAAGTAAAGAGACTCACAATACCCATCCAATTTCATGACAGGTTTGGGGATTGACATTTGCTACAAAAGGAATGATTGTTAGTTATGGGCTTGGTTGAACTACTCTAAGATTTCTGAGTGGGGCAGAATACCCTTATTCCAATACTTTGTCTGTGACCCCCCTCCACACACCATATTAAAGATTATAAAAGACAAAGAGAATGGGAGAAAAGGCTTTGTCTTCTTGTGTTTTTAGCAGAAAGTTCTGTGAGGCAGATTTGGGAAAGGCCGAAAAGAAAGAAAAGAGAGAGAAAGAGAGAGAGAGAGAGAAAGAGAGAGAGAGAGAAAGAAAGAAAGAGAGGAAGAGAAAAAGAAAGAAATATCACTGCTGTGAAGGGCCTGCCCCACACCAAAAAGTGACAGTGGAAAGGCCCACTTTTAACAGTGACCTGGGCCAAAGTTGGAATAGTGGGGTCCTATGAGATGATGTTGTCCAGCGGTGTCTATGAGGCTTAAACTGAGAGGCTTGGCCACAGTTTAAAGCATGTGGGTGACATCGGGCACCTGCCCCTCTGGACACTTCTTATTTTTGTTATGTAGTATACAGGCAGAAGCTGGAGGAGTGAGTTCTTGGAATCTGAATGTACAGGAACAGCAGAATGAGCAATTTACCATTTATATGAAGGATTTATCTAGCCCAACATATTGAGAGGCTTGTGACTTTCTAATATCTGACAAGAAGTGGAGAGATGGAGGAGTAATAGAGCACAAAAGCGGAGTCTCCACACTTAAGGAGATCAATACATTAAATGCCTACCACATGAGACTCATGAAAAGTTTGAGCAGAGCCAAACCTGCCCGCTTTGGTAATGATCATCTCAGTCCCGATGTCGTGGAATCTCTTCCACAGTTCTGATCCTTGAAGTTCCACTTGAACAACATCTTTCTCTTCCAGGCTTTCGTGGGTTTTGCCATTGCCGCTGCTGCCATCACAGCTGGAGAAAGCAGTTGTTGAGGATTCTGTCTTTGGTCGCTTTTCTGCTGGATACAGAGACGCCAGGATTTGAGTTTCAAGTTTTGCGCACACCTTGGAGCAGGCGTGTGCCTTTTCCTGTCCCCAGAAACCCTGGTGTTTGATCCCCAAGCTCCCCCAAAATCTATCTGTGGTCCCTTAACGGTGTCCTGTACCACGAAAAGTGCGACCCTTTAAATTTGTCTCTCTTCACCCTCCCGCAGGTGTTCCTAATTGTGGTTGTATCCTCTTGGGATTTGGGAGTGCATCCTGCTTTCTATGGAGAGGAACAACCACCCTCTGACTCTCAGGGATTTGTAGGAGGTCTGTGAGCCTCACTCCTCCACAAATAAGTAGGACCCCCTTTTGCACTGTAAAGAAACCACAGCCCTTAGCGAAGGATTCAGAAACTCTGAAATTTTCCCTACAGCCAGCTGGCCAAGTTGTCTGGTGGCCCAGGGAGGTTATTGGGTTGGCCAAGACATCTTTGCATAGGACAACAACCCTCCCACAGCGCGGCGAAACTGGCAGAGAAATGTGGATCTAACTTGCGCAGGCAAGCAGCTCTGAGCAATGGGGTGTGGAAGGGTACTCACCAGGCTGCTCGCTCGTCCTTGTCACGCCGCTGGTTCTCTCTTCCTCTCCATCCTCTTTCTCTTGCAGTTCAGGCTGCTGTGCCTCCTCTCTTGGGTCCTGCGGTTTTCTTTTGTTGGGTCTCCCCACCAAGGCCTCCACTGAGAAGGCGTGTGCTCGAGAGCTCAGAGCCATCCCTGCTGGGGAAGAAGTGAATGTGAGCAGCAGTTTCAACCTGAGCTGCGTTAGGGAGGGAGGGGGAGAGAGGGAGGACGCCGAAGATAGGCGAGGGAGGGAAAGCAGAAAAAAGAAATCCCAAATCCGAAAACCAATTTTTGGATCTGTACTCAAAAAAATTCTCTGTGCGCATGTGTGTAATTTTTATATGTACATGTATTTTTTTCTTTAGGCAAAATAAAAAGAAAAGAAGATTAAACTAAGGTCTAAATCATCCTGAATCTAGTCTCCCTTCCTTTTTCAGCCTCCTCCCTTCCAGTGGACATGTGCGGACCATAAGTTCTCAAATCCCTGTTTCTGGGACTGCCAGAGCACAGATTGGCAAATGCAGGCCTTTTAGGGAGCGGACTTGCCACCAATAGCGGCTCAAGTCGCTGGGATTGGGAGATACTGTTGCATCTGACAGAGTGAGTACCCAGCCAGTCACAGCTTCCACTGTTTGTTTTGGAAACTGTTGGAAGCATAAAAAAGCAAAGTGAGTGACACTTTAGAGTCTGACAGGGAGGAGGGGTTGGGGGTTGGTTGGAAAAGGGCTCTGAATAGGCGGGAGTAAAAAGGAGGAAAGGGAGATACAAGGTTACTGTTTTACATTAAATTGTAAAACTCAAAGAAATGTGAAATAATTGCCCACGAGGGGCCACTTTTCCAAAAAAAGTGCAAATATTATTTAACCAGATCCAGAGAAATGTATCTGGGTCTTTTGTTCTCCAGTGACAGCATTGGGAGAAAAAAGAAAGGAGTGCAAGCCTTCTGAGATGGTTTACCCTGTAGTTAGGTTCTCAAACTGGGTAGGTGGTTGTGCCCATGTATCATCTTTTTCTTAGTAGGGAGGTTCAGGTGAAGTTGGGTCAGGAGGATCTCAGATGCCACTGTCAAAGATCAGAGCAAACTTGGCCTTCAAGCCTTGCTTCTGCTGGAGCTACACCTCTTCTTTACAGTCACATAGCTTCATGAGCAGTACAGCCTAGGGACCAAGGATCACCCACAACATAACATCAGTGTCTTTGCTCCCAAGAATATGTGCACCTCAAAGTGTCGCCTGGAATCTTTAAAGATATGCTTTATGCTAGGAGAGACTTTATCATTTCCTAGGAATATGTTTATGCCCGCAGATGTGATATGTCTGCCTATGTCCATATGATTTATTCATCCACTTTTTATCAGAATTAGAAATCCAGTGCCCTTGGACTCTTGAAGACTGCATTTAAACTAATGAAGTTCACATATTTCAAGAAAAGCTCTTCTGTTCTCCTCTGATTTTTTTAAAGTGACATTCAAAGCCAATCCAATTCCAGTTAAAATGGAGTGGAACTTTAATTAACTTGTAGTATCTCAATACTGGAATGTGAAGAATAAAAACTTTTGATTTCAGCTATTTAGCTACAAGTTTACCTTGACTAGATTTTCTATGTGATGGTAGTTATGGTGGTGGCAGTGGGTCATTCAGCCATTGAGAGGACATCTTCAGACAATTGGGTATGGCTTTAACTAATCTATGATTCTGGATATCATGGAAAAGTTTTGTTACAGCTTGAATGGTACTGTTTGGTGTGGTTCAATATAGAGCAGGGAAAGATGCTGTACTTATTCTGGAGAGGATAAGAAATAGAGCTCACAGGGCAAGGCCAATTTCAACTTACAAGCAGTTGGACTGGAAAATAGTCAGATCTGGATGTGATCTTTGCCACAGTTCCATGAGTATTTCTTTCTTCAGTCATTAAAAATAGGAGGAGAGAGTGTTCGTCCATTCCTTCTTACCCAGAAAATATATTTTTATCCATTTCACATTAGCTAAAAGGCAGAATTCAGAAACAAAATATGCAATAGTTCATTAATTTTAGAGTGTTAATTACTGTGTAGTATTGAGTGTCTTCTCAGTATTTTCTTGTCTTTCAACATTGGCTCATTTTATTGCTAAAAGGCAGAACATTACCTTGTGTACATAAGGGAAACTTTTCTCAGTAGGTTTTTTCAAAAACAGATTTCTATAAAATTTAGATAGATGTTTAGCACGATATCTGTTCTAGTATTTCAGTCTATTTATCATATAATGTGATTTTCTTAAATCAAGGAAATAGCATATCTTATGATATAAGTTCCTTCTTACAAGAAACATCTTTCTAAATAGTTATTACATGCATGCAATTTAGTCATCCAGAACTTTTTAAAATTTGTGTAGCCTAAACTTTTTTCCATTCCCAGTGTATTAACTATCTGATGAGATCACATTAGGGAGATGTAGCTCAGCTCTCCCTGAAGTGTGCTGGACTAAAATGCAATTAATTTCTGTTAACTTGTATCTAAGAAGAAAAAAATCACATATTTCAGAACCAATTTTATAATCTGTTCAACTGTTGAAACACTGGACTGTCATGTACTGGGGGCAATACACTAAGGCAAGTGATTCTTCACTTGAAGGAAAAACAAATTTGTGGTTAATGCAATTAAAATCTATTCAGTAGCTATGGGGATAGAAAAGAGATTAATGAGCCTTAAAGGCATATATTTTATTAGAGTCCTTCTTGCATATGGTACTTGAGCCTGTCTTAATAATTAAGAAATAACTGTATAACTCTAATAAAATTCTCAATAATTTATTAATGACTATAAATAGTTGGATTTATTAACACGTGTAGGAAACAAAATCTACCATGAAAATGTTGCTTGTAGTGAAACATATATGCATGATAGTAGATATTCAGGATTAAGCTAGAGTATCTGAAAATGCTACATTCCTCAGAAAATTATATGATATACATAATGATTCAGGGCCTCTCTAGATTTAACATGTGAAATATGGGTCATTTGAAGAAAAAAAAACTATGTTAAAAGGAATTAAGTCTGCCTGGAGGTAAAAGATATCCTGTGTTCTGCAGTACTTACTAACTAATGGGTTGATGCCAAAACCATGTGGACAGACACCCAACTCTTACTTTTATAAATAAATAAAATAAATATAAAATAAATGAATATTTCAAATACATAGGACATATATATGTGTGTGTGTCCATGTATATGTATTCACAATATAAATTCAATACAATACAATAAAAGTTTTGAGACTGATTGGATATCTAATGCTACTCTTTGGCAGAAACACAAGCAACTTCATGATGGAGATTATTTCCTCCAATTGTTATGCTTTCTCTCCCTTGAATTTCACTACCAATGATTAAGATATTTTGTCCTAATTAGTTACTAGCTTATAGAATATGAATCTAAAATAAGTTATTTATGACCATTTTCTGCAATTTCATGGAAAAGAGTTTCCTCAAATGAAACCCAATGAAAGTGAAGTAAATAAATGCAGAAAGACAGTTTTATCAAGATATCATTTGAGTACCTGAGTCAAATACTGCCTGCGTTTACAACGTTTTATGAAGAAACAAATCATCTTTGTTTGCTTAAGTGAGATTTGACTGGATTTTTTTCACTTACAGACAAAAAAATCTGCCCTCATGTTGATAAAATTTTGGAAGATCACCTTACTCTCTAGTTCTCTCTTTCCTCTTCTTTCTCTTTTTCCAATTATACTGGTTCTTTGAATAGGGAAATTATAACCTATAGACTCAGAACAGTAAGATCCCAAATGCAAATGTGAATTTCTAGATGAAGAATTTGAATTCCTACATGAACTCCTAGAACTATGATAATAATCAAGGATAAGTCTCAGGAAGATAGACTTTGAACTCAGACTGACTTGGTTCAAATTATGACAATATTACTTTCTGAATGCTCTTATAAGTCTTTGTTTTTGGGATTAAGTCACTATCTTCTATGTTTCTGAGCTTTTATTATAGAGTATATTTCTGTAAGTGGGTATATAATCTGAGGATCTTGTAACATAATTTATGCAAACCATTTAGCACAATGCCTGGAATATAGTAAACACTCACAGCTGTTTTCAACATTAAAGAGATAATGAAAATTAATTTCAATAATATGTTAATCTTTGTATCAACTATACAGCTATGAATCCTTTGAGGCCAGACAGAAGAAGGAGATGAAATTTGGGCCAATGTTGAATCTCTGGATTTGGATAAATCATAAAGCAAATTCAAAGGGTCAGGTGTCTTAGGGAAATCAATTTTCTTAAATACATTTGAGAACAATTTTAATAAGCAAAATTAATGAATTAAACCAAAAGACTGCATTCTCATTTCAAAAAAATCCATGAGAAACATGTCTGATAGAATACATAATCTGATTTTTATTATTAAAGATACTAGCAAAACCATAATCTGATTTTTATGAACTAGATTCTTGAAATGTTTTTGGTATTTCACCAATGCAAGCATAGTTAGATAAATTTGTTAATGATAAACCATGAACACATAGCTGTGTTCTCACTCTAGGGATTTGAGGAAACTGGCCTAATTAACATTAAGTAATTTCTCAAAATGATCCTTCCATTTCTGGTTAGCCTAATATAATGTGTTCTCTCAAAAGTTTTATGCATTTATGCATCTAGTAATTGAGTTATATATGTCAAACTTTGTCTCCCTTGTTCCAAGATAGAAGGGGAGAAGAAAGAGTCTGAAGACAAACTCTTACCTGTGTTCTTGTGTTCTCTTAGGGAAGACTAGCAGCTAAATGCTTATGCTTGCCAAAATATTAGCTAAAGGAAATTTGTTTTGTTAAATATAATTTTGTGTTTATATTGTTTTCAAATGCTGAAGTCCTTCTTATGACAGTAATTACAACATTAGGCTTGGGGTCATTATTCTTCTCATTCTCTCTGAAGTATATTAAAAGCATACAATTTGTTTTCCCACTCAATTCATAACTTAAGATTAGTAGATACTTTTAAAATCTTCAGATTTAGGAGTTTTGCCCCAGAACTATAAGGATAATTTTATTCTTGGCTAATTTTAGGCAGAGTAGATGAATACATGAAAAGAGAGATAATAAAATGAGTAAGTCCAGAGGTTACCCTATAGGGAACTGAATAAATGCCA